AGCTTCCTGCGGAGTGTCACAGGAATCAGTGGTGAGGTCTCAACTATTTACAGTCCATAAGTATAACTTAGATGAGGAGACCACATTTATGGTAACTAAACTTGCCTATAGTACCAAGTTAGGTAGGAAAGCAAGGTATCAAGAGAAGGTAGAGAGTCTGAAAAGGGTTAGGCAAAAAAAATCAGCTGGTGGAGTAAAGGTGAACTTGTCCATCAAAGAATAGATTAGAATAGAATAGCCTTTACTGTAACGAGCACTTGAATGAATGCAGTGAAAAGTTTGTAATGTCGCCTCTTTGGTGCCATTTTAGGTACAGGGTACCTAGATGTTTAAGTGTTTGTTACAGAATTGAAAGAGTAAAACAAGTCTGGCATAAGGATAGAAAGTTTTAAAATGCTTGACTTACTCAAAGTCCAGAATAAGAATAAAAGTATTTTTTAAAGGTACTGAAATTATAGTCCTTTTAACTGAGTCCATGCCCGCCAGGCTTCAGAACATGACATCTCACTGCCTCCACGCACTGGCCTCCAGGACTCACCTCCCAGATTGGCCTGGGCTCGGTCCGCTCCCGCTCTAGGTTCCAGCTGCAAATCACTTCCAGGACTTGCCTCCCACTCTAGCATGGGCTCTGACTCATCACCTGTGCCGGGCTGGACTCAGACTCGCCTCTATGCTCATGCCCTCTGGGTATAGTAGTTTAAGAAGTTAAAAGTTTGGGGGATGGGGGGAGAAAAACTGCAGAAAAGAAGGGGAAAAAATGAAAGAAAGGAAAAGGGACTAGTGAAGAGGAGCTCCAGCTGGAGCATCATAATCTGCCACCATCTTGAACCATCAGAAAGAATAGAAAAGCAGTATACGATTTAAATGAAGAGATTGCAGGATTGGTGTCCTGATATATGTATCACAAAGTTAAAATGAAGGCATAGCTAATGATTAGGAAGATAAACAATGATGTCATTTATTGCAAGTGGAATGGGATAAAATCATTGAGACATTTTCCTCCAGCTGCACAGGGCATTGGTGAGACATCTGGACCGTGTATAGTTTTGGTCTCCCTTTTTAGAAAATTATATCATTACTTTTTAGATAACAAGGTGTAGAGCTGGATGAACACAGCAGGCCAAGCAGCATCAAAGGAGCAGGAAAGCTGACGTTTCGGGTCTAGACCCTTCTTCAGAAATGGGGGAGTGGAAGGGGATTCTGAAATAAATAGGG